TCCGTACCTCCTTATGTAGAGGTGTGTCTCGCGCGGAATAGATAGAGTAGAGATCGGCAGCCTGTGGTGTTGCAGTGTTGGCTGCATGCAAGGGGGGAGGACGGGTGGAGGGGGGCAGGCTTCTAGAAAACTTCTACGGCCGGCCAAGGAATAAGGAGAGGCCTTGTCTATCATGCTGACTCGCGGTGGCTAAAATGACTGTAGAGGTGGTTAAAATGACTGTAGACCCACCCGACATAGCCAATCATATATGTCTGTTCCCCCAACACATATGGGCACCCAGTCAGCGATCCGCACCTGAAAAAAGATACATCTGTACTAACATTTCTCTTCTTCTCTTAGGTAGGTAGTAGGGTTCGGGTTAGGATAGGGTCAGGGTTAGGTTCCGGGGGCTTGGGGGGCGGCGAGAGCCCCCCGGAGAGGAATGTGTCTCTATGCAATGCGTCTTGCAATGCGTCTTGCAATGCGTCTTGCAATGCGTCTTGCAATGCGTCTTGCAATGCGTCTTGCAATGCGTGTAGAAGTTCCCGGGAGAATAACATGTCTCTTCGTGCAATGCGTATAGAAGCCTTGGGAAGGGAATGCGTCTGTTAGTGCAATGGGTGTGGACGAGGTATTTGTGGCTCTACAGTCATTTTAACCACCTCTACAGTCATTTTAGCCACCGCGTGCTGACTGGGCTGCTGGGCTGACTGGGGGGAAGGGGGTGGGCTGAAGTGCCTGGATCCTGCTTCGTCATCTGCCGATCCTTTCATGATTTAGTTACGACGCTTCTGCTTATTATTGTTATTGAGACAAAACGTCACGACTAGAAAGCAAAAGAGCAACTGCATGCGTACCTAGACTAGGTAAGGACTTATCCGATCTGCAAGTCAGGGCTCCTTTGGAACGTCACGAGGGACGAAGAGGCATTCCGGGGGGGGGGCTCGAAACTCAAAAGGTTTACCAAAGTCCTACCGGCAGGGAGAAAATTGAGAAAAATCAAAAGATCCTCGCATAGTCTAGGTACTTGTCCAAAAAAAAAAAAAGCAGCAGCATTCATTATCTGGGACATCATGGCCCGCTTATAGCTTTTGGGTAGCATCGGAACATAAATCAAGAACTCTTCTTTCTTTTTCTCTTTCTCCCAATCGGAGTTCCTCCCACCGTTGTTGGCGCTTCGTTTTTTTATTAATCAAGAACGATTCTGTCACCTGGGAATGAAGCGCCCCCCCCCCCACGTCCACCCAGACCAGCTGACCCTGAAGAAGATGTGATGGAGGAAAAAAAGCTGAAGTCCCGAACGAAGGATTCCTGTGGCTGCTGCTGTACTACAGATTAACCCCTGACATAATATGCCCTTCCATGGGAGTGCCCTTCCGTTGAGTAAAGAAAGAGCTCGATAGTACCGTTGATTGGACTCGCCCATATTATGTCAGGGGCCGGTCGACATCTACACCTACCACTGGGCAGCTACCGTTACGCCGCGGCGCTTAAAATCAGTCGCCCGTCAGTGGTTGAAAAAAAAAAGAACTCCCATGTACATCTTGCTAAGTTAGTAAGTGAGCGAAGTTGCGAGCAGCTCGTCATCAGATATGAGAGCGAAAGGGGTTGGGGGAAGGAAACGGGATTGCAACCCTACGAACCCTACATATACACCACACACGTAGCATTCTGGCGAGCTAAGCTCGTTGTTAGCGGCAGGACACGACAACCATCAATCATCATCGCAGTGATTACCACTCTGAAACCTTCGGTGACAAAGCCCGACTACCCTTACGTGTCACGCCTCGGTCAAGCGGCGTGTGGTGTGTGGTGTGTGTTTTTCGCATCGTCTGCATGACCACTATTTGGGGGGGGGGGGGGGGGGGGGGGGGGGGAGTAAAATGGCATCCTCGGGCTCACGGCGCCCGTCGAACTCCGTTTCGAGTATCACAGAGATCGTCCGTCGTTCGGCCGTTGATCTCAGATGCATACTCGAAACGATGGCGCGCGCTGTCTGTCCCAATACTTCCAAAAAACTGAGTCACTCAAGCTTACGGTTCGAAGGCTGGCTTTGCGTTTCGCGTCGGTCGGGCAGAATGTGTGATTGTCGCGCCCCCCCTTCTTGGACGTAAAGAGGCACGGATTCGCCCAATCCTCGCGTTTTACTCGGGACTTGTGACGCCTTCGCAGTGAAGGAAAGCCTTCGCTGCCTTGATCACAGGTTTACTACTAAAAAACACCAGCAGGGTATTGACGTACATGTCTTAAGTAGGGCAGTCAAGCTAGTTTTAGGGTCTGACAGCATGTCTCACTTTCATAAGCGAGTCAGCTCCTCATCGATTCGTCCCTGGCATATACAAGAGCAGGGGGTAGAGCAGGGCGTCCAGCAGGTTGGAGGAGTTGCGCGTTTGCCTTCACGGTGATACCCAGATTAAGTCCCAGGCCTCGTGTGTATAACTCTGATGTTTGCGTTTGGAGACGGTCGACGGGGATGAAGGAAGAAAGAAAAAAAAATAGAAAGAAAAATAAAAAAAAAATAAAAAATAAGGCTCGACGGAGACACGGCTGTGTACCGTAGACATCGATTACCACATGAAAGCTGTGGTCCAACGAGTGACAGGTACGGGGTTAGTTACCGATGATGGCTATAATGCAAGTAAGTCTGGGGAGGCAGGGCAGGGTGCTGCGCTCCTACGGCACCGTGTTGCATTGCATCGCATACCCAGGTACTTTACGCAGCTCGATCCTTCACCCCATATCATCTGCTCATATCGACGATGCTGATTGACCAAGAATGAGATGAAAACTTTTTTTTCGTGGTCACTCGACCCTCTTCGCATGCGCTTTTCAGGGGTTTGTCTCGTTGGGCTCTCCGGGTAAACCAGACCTCTACCAATCTTGGGTCAATAAATCCCTCAGGCTAAGGAATAATACGTAGATGCTTATGAGCCATTCGTTTTGGCAGGGCTTTGAAGAGCCTCAATTGTCCCCCGATTGTCATACAGCAGTTGCCGGGGGTGATGTTGATTATGCCTTGTCAAGTCGAATTTGAGGGGTGTTTAGGATAACGGCCTCGAATATATCAGGTACCTAGGTATGGAGGTAGTGAGAGCTACCCCGGACAAGATCCCCCCACTGCATGCGGGCTAGGTTACACGATAGTAGTGTATCTCATCTTTACCATCATATCCATGGATGGAATATAGAGTACCTAGGTAGTTAGCAGACTCATAAAAGCCAGCTTCCCCTCACTGTCACTCACCAGGCTCTTTCCCACCCACGCACCCACCCCTTCACCCTATCTTCAACGGCAAACTCATATCAGCAACGACAACACCTGCTTTGGGCTTCTTATTTGACGTTCCCCTCCCACGTTTGGGTAGCACAGACAAAAGGTGACGCGAGTATCGGAGCCTGGTCTGTTGTCTCGCCGTACCGACACTGATACCCAACGCATTGATACATACTTAATCGGACCTGTTGCCACAGGCTCACATAGGCAACCTCGCTCTCCCATCCAAGTTTCCTTTTTCTGTCACTTACTTGATAATCTACTCGGGTTATCTAGTAAGTGCACCGGCTGAGTCTTCGAAGCCTGTCATACGTGTGTTAATACCAGGTTGAGGTATACTCCGATACCCGTTTCTCTCAAGCCATAACAGCCAGCAGCCATAGCAGCCATGTCGCAAACCCCTTACCTCGCTGACCAAGGCTGGGTCTCTGTTGATGTGCCGGAGAGGTTCTATGAGCAAGTCCATACTCGTGGACGTCCTCCCTACCTCAACCAAACCAATTTTCCATCCGTCCAAACTAGCGGATCGAGCTCCCATCCGACCCTCCTGATGAGATATCCTACCGAGATCGAGCTCGACGATGCTGAGGTCGGAGAAGGAGCCCACTCCTTGGGCAGCTACACCCCCTCTGTGCCAGCCTCCGACACCGAGAGCACGGCGACCGGTACGATCATACTTGGTGGGGGCGGTACCGATCCTGTTCCTCGTATAGACATACCCTTTTTCCTGGAAAGGGACTATGATGGAACTGTACTTCCCCTCACCGAGCATGCCGTCGCCGCTCACAACCATGCATACAACATGGATGTCTTCCCCGGTGATATCCGGGGTTGGATCAACGGACATGGACGCTTCTTCGGAGACGAGACTCCCAGCCCCAGTGCTAGCATCGTGATGCCCAAGCAACCTCGGAGCGATGCGACCCGGACCACTAGATCGTCGTGGAGCGTCGTCTCGTCGGTCCAGCGCCACCTGGGCCGCATTGGGGAGAACATCTATGGGGCTGGATCGAAGTTCGACACTCCGGTCGACCCAGCCATGGCTTCGGCGCCTGCTATTTGCGATGAGGACGTTGTCTGAATGGAATTAAGATAAGGGTGAGGCTTCTCTGCGCATTTCCTTTGGCATGGATCAGCCTTCTGCATTCATGCTTGCTGCCGGCGTTCTTTCGGACTGTTTCTGGATATATATTCAAAAGAAGTAAAAAAAAAAAAAAAAGAAGAAGAAAAAGATATAGAGGCCACAACAGAGATTGCGAATCAGTTGTTATATATTTTGTTCCTCTGTATCCCCATCCTTGGGAATGGGCATAGCACTGCCTAGGTATCGGATGGGAAGGGATGGGATGGGATGGGATGACGGCCTGGGAAAATTGGTACTATAGGTTTATTCCACTTGAAAGAATGGATGGAGTGCGTTGGCAGGTTGGATAACTGATTATAACCGTTTTACGAAGTACTTAAGAATGAGATGTAAAATTCCAATGAAGGAACCAGAAAGTGAAGAAGATCTGGAAGAGGGATACGATATTAAGGGAAGAAGTAAAAATAAGCTGTACCTATCGTGAAGCTTACACAACCTGATGGTGGTAGCTCCGGTTTTCTGAGGGGTAGTCTAAAGGCGAGGATAAGTAAAAAAAAAAAAAAATGGTGAAGCCTGCTCAAGTTAAACAGACTAACAGACGAACTTAATGGATTGCTCCGGTGCTTTGAGAGATACCGAGAAGCATCAAAAAGGCAAAAATGAAGCCTGCCCGATTCGAACGGACGACCTTGCGGAATCACCACGGCTTGGATGAGAGAGGAAGTCCTTGAGATGAAGGGATCCTTCGTCCAGAGGCTCAGGGGCTGGAATCGCACGCGCTACCAATTGCGCCAAGGCTCCCTATGCGATTTCCCAAGCAGAAGCACAATTCTGGGTGGGAAGAGGTTGAGATGTTCCTCGCCCTTGTTATTTGGGATTATATTGGTGGCATTTGCTTGTGTCGAGACGGATCGGATCGGATCGAGGAGAATCGTCTTTATGGACCAAATAGTGAGGATTGTGTGTGGGTGGAGAATGGGAGTATATGGGTACCGAGGGCTGTGATTGATAGGGGTGAGGGAATCCCCACACATTGAACCCGGGATTATTATATAAGCAAAGAAAAAAGGGGCTTCCTAGCTCTCGGCTAAGGTTGTGGTAGAGGTAAAATGGGCTTCCAATCGGGACAAGGAACCACTTGAGATTCCATACTGACTTATCAAAATTAATCTAAGAACGAGACCCATCAGCATCATCCAACTCATACAATGCCAGAATGCTTTGTGATCAGTGAAAAATGACGACGGATGAAAAAGAAAAAAAATTACCGAATTATTCCACCCGCTCGGCTCTCTTCAACGCTGACCCCGAACTTTCTGCATCATGCCGCCGGGTTTCTCCAAGTTCTCCGCACTTGAATTATATCCCAGGCCAGGTCAGGTTCCGCGCAAATGGACATGGGCGTTTTGCTTCTTTTCTCTGTGCTTGAACCTGGCCAGCCACCTTTTAGCCTGATATCGAATACTGCAATCGTGGGGGAGAAATAATGGCAAGGTTCCTCCCTCGATCCCTACTCGTGGCTCTCTCTCCCCCGGCCTCACTTTCTTCCCCGCACGCCGGTCATAGGCGACGACGAGGACGATAATAATAATGATGATGATGATAATAACAACGAGAAGAAGAGGCGAGCCGGGGACTCGGGATCGGAATATTTCCTTGGCGGGAGATCATTGGCCGTTGTACCGTAAACAGGGCATCGTATGCATGACTGAATACACGGTTAGCATCAAGCTACTCCCCCCATGCAGTCAGAAAATGCAACGATAATCGAACACACCGCTGGGCGCAAATATGCATATAATATAAGGAACGCCTACGCCATGCATGCTTTCTCTTCCCACCGCCTAGGCCTGGGCATCAGGGTGCAAGCTTCACTGTAGCAATTTTGTGCTTCGGGCGAGAGAAAGAGAAAAAAAAAGAGAGAGCATAGATGTATCCTCCATCGAGCTCGTCAATGTCAGGACTGCTCCCCAGAGTCCTGGCCTCCTTGCTCCTGCTACTGCCCCTCGTACTCGCCTCGGGGATAAACAGCAGACATAATGTCCACCATGACCAGGGCCGCCACCACTGGGTCAGCATCTGGGCCGCGATGCCGCAGCTCACCGAGCCCGCGAACTTGCCTCCGGCCCCTTTTGTAAGTTGGGCACCGGGAAAACCAAATAATCAGAAAGAAAAAAGAAAGAAGAGAGAAAAAAAAAACCCCCCCACACAGATGACCGGGGGTTATAAGATCGGAAAATTACTGACAAAGAGCCACAACAAAAGAACGAGACGGGTGTCGTCTTCCGCAACACCACCATCCGCCAGACCATCAAGACCTCCCTCGCCGCCGGCACCATCCGGCTCCAGATCTCCAACGCCTTCGGGTCCACGGACCTACCCATCACCTCGGCGACCCTCGCACTACCCCTGGTGAACGGGTCGTCGTCGTCGTCGTCGTCAGCCAGCGGAACGTCGGCGATCGACCCGTCCTCGCTCCGGCCCCTGACCTTCTCTAGCGGCAGCAGCACCATAATCCCGAACGGCGCCCTCGCCGTCTCGGACCCCATCGCGTTCCCCTCCCCCCTCGAGGCCGGCTCCGTCCTGACCGTGTCCCTGTACTTGGCCGCGGGCCAGACCGGCAACGCGATCACGTCGCACCCGGGCAGCCGCACGACGTCGTACTTCGCGGCCGGGGACCGCACCGGCGCCGCGGACCTGATCGTGGCCGGGGCGGGTGGTGGTAATGATGACTCGGCGATGGCGACGGCGACGGCGTCGGCGTCCGCCGAGCATTGGTACTTCATCTCCGGAGTCGAGGCCTGGCTCCCGCGCGCCGCGTCCCGCAGCGTCGCCGTCGTCGGGGACAGCATCACGGACGGGCGGGGCTCGACGACCAACGGGAACGACCGGTGGACCGACGTGCTGGCGGCCCGCCTTCTTCTTCGTTCTTCTTCTCATCCTTCTTCTTCTTCCTCTTCTTCCTGCTCCTCCTCTTCCGCCCCAGCTCCACCCCCAGCCCCACCCCCGGCTATCGGCGTGATCAACCAGGCCGCGGGCGGCAACCGGGTCCTGAACGACGGGCTGGGCCCCAACGCGCTGTCGCGCATCGAGCGCGACGTGGTGGCGCAGCCGGGCGTGGGGTACGCCATGGTGTTCGAGGGCGTCAACGACATCGGCACGGCGGCGGCGGCCGACGCCGCCGCCCAGGAGGAGGTCGGCGCCCGCCTGATCGCCGCCTACGACCAGGTGGTCGCGCGGCTGCACCGGTTCGGCATACCGGTCTTCGGGTGTACGAGTAAGTAGACTGACTGACTCTTTTTTTTACGTTGTTTTCGCTTTCTTTCTCTTTCTCTCTTTCCTCTTTTCCTTCTCCTTTTCTTTTTTTCTCTCTTCTACAAAATAGCTGCTGCCTATTACTGTATCCGAGTGAGCATATAAAAATATCATTCTGTTGGTTGGTTGCTTGGCTACCCCTTGTGTGTCTTTGTGCTTTTTTTTTTAACCTTTGTGGTAGGTAGGTAGATATTGGGGGAAAAGGGGGGGGGGGGGGGGGATCATGTGTACTCACTCGCCCCTCTTTCCTCAAACCTTACCTTGATTCTACCGAGATACTTTTTCTCCTCCCCCCCTTTTTCACCTTTCCTTTCTCCCCTACCACAACTATTTCAACCTTATCCAGCATATGCGTATGTATATATTCGCGTGTGCCCTTGTATGTGTTCTTTGTGAAACCTAGGCCCATATTGGCAACATCTAACACCATCTATCACACCAAGTCACACCTTTCAGCGGACCCGGCCAGACATACAGCGATCCGGAGCGGGAGCGGACCCGGCAGCGCGTCAACGCGTGGATCCGATCATCGGGTCGGTTCGACGGCGTGGTGGACTTCGACGCCGTCGTGCGCAACGAGACCCAGGTCGATCAGCTAAGGGCCGAGTTCGACAGCGGTGACTACTTACACCTGAACCCAGCCGGTTACGCCGCCATGGGCGAGGCCGTCGACCTGACCCTGTTCGATCGGTTCGCTGATGGGGTGGAGAGTATGGTATGATGATGCTCGTTCTGGCAAAAGAGGGGGTCTCGTAGAAGTAAGGGATATTTGTTTGAGCGAGGATAGACGGAACATGTGAGTGGGTGGGTGAAAATATATACACCCTTTAGGGATATTAAAGGTAAGCGTAACAGATATGGAAAATATAGGATAGCCGCATAATCAACATATGGATAATCGGATAAGCAGTGTTCTATGGATTATTCCATAAGAAATACCTGCTTATTCGAATGTTAATATGTAATATATAGAGCTGGCTCTAGTGTGGTGCTAACTTTTAATATCCCTAAAGGGTGTAGACGTATATGTTCCGCGCATAACACACAGGAGATAGTGAGCATAAGAAGGGGAGAGGCTGGAGAAGAGGGGGGGATAGAAAGAAAAGGAAGGTTGGGCAGCAATCTAGGGGGAGCCTTGGTAGCATCCATTGATATACACCCTTTAGGGATATTAAAGGTTAGCACCACACTAGAGCCAGCTCTATATATTACATATTAACATTCGAATAAGCAGGTATTTCTTATGGAATAATCCATAGAACACTGCTTATCCGATTATCCATATGTTGATTATGCGAATATCTTATATTTTCTATATCCGTTACGCCAATCTTTAATATCCCTGAAGGGTGTATGAAGATACGGTTATGCAGCCAAAGTAGGGTTCGGGGTTGAGTCCGCGCAGCGAATCGATCCTCGGGAACCCTTGGGGAAAGCAGCGCGTGATTGGGTCCCAGTGAAGCAATCACAGGGTGACATATGTGAGTAGTGGAGTTGGGTCATATATGAGGCTGAGCACAATTGGATGGATGGATGAGGGCGGCTTGCGGCATAAACTATCACCAGGGATATTAAAGGACGCATCGGTAGTCAGGAGTGTATGAGGAGCAAGCTGCTCTGAAAATTCCTCTTAAAACTAACGCCATCGCTTTAGTACTGTCTCTATACATGATTTTTTATGAATAACTTGACTGATCCAACCAGTCCGGCTCTTTTGCTGGAAACTCCAGCCGTTCTGAGTCTCTTCTTTTCAGATCTATGTCCACAGTCGGCATGTACCATCGGCACCGGCGCTTACAACCCATGGGTGTTGAGGGTGCCAATCGATATCCGTGACTCCAAGCCTGTTGACTACCTTATGTCCCTTGAGCTGCTTGACTGGGACGATCGTCGGCCCCTCGACCAGATCGTTCACAACCTTGTGGTGGAATATCTGCAGTGACCCGTCATCACTACAGTCAGCAAAAAGCGGGAACGAGCGGTGGAACTTGACCGCCCTTATGGCTTGAGGGTGGAACCTCATCGTCTTGTACGGCCTCGTGGAGAGCTCCAGGTCATGCCATAGTAGCCGTCGATCGTAGGACCCGGCTACTAGGTGATCGCCGCTGCCGGGGTGTATATCGAAAGAGGAAAGCCATCTCGCACCCGGCTGGATAGTCTTTACCAACTCCTGTCTCTGCAGGTCGTAGCATTTGATAGATCTCTGCGTAGCCACGAAGAAGAGCGGCCGTGCTGGATGGAACGAGGCTGTCTGAGGCAAACCGGGCAGTTTCCGGAACGGGAGTTGTGTAAGATGTTTAGACAAGGTGTGGATGGCGACGGCACTCTTTTGCCCGCTGGGAGAGACGGTACAGAAGAAGTCTCCGCGTCGATGCCAGTTGATCGTCTTAATAGGCGATCTGACTGTTGCCTTGAGCAGAACCCCTTCGTCCTCCAGCCTGGCTCCGGGTCTGGCCCACTTGGCTGGCGGGTCTTTCCGAGCACCG